TAGCTGGGATTACAGGCACGCACCACCATGCCCAGCTAATGTTTTGTATTTTTAGTAGAGACGGGGTTTCACCATGTTGACCAGGATGGTCTTGATCTCTTGACCTTGTGATCCACCCGCCTCGGCCTCCCAAAGTGCTGGGATTACAGGCTTGAGCCACCGCGCCCGGCGGTTTTTGTTTTTGTAAAGACAGGGTCTTGCCATGCTGCCCACGCTGATCTTAAACTCCTAGACTCAAGCAATCCTCCTGCCTCAGCCTCCTAAAATGCTGGGATTATAGGCATGAGCCACGTCGCCCAGCCCAAAACAACTTCTAACAGATAAGCCAAATGACAGAACCAGCATGCACATATACAAAGAAACAGAATCAAAGGTACATGTGTAACTACAAGGAATACTACCTGATTGAATTTTGGTTCACAGAACACTCTATGCAAGCATTTCGAAGACACCTGAAGCATTCTGTTATTAACTGCAGGCTGGAAGCCAGATTTTCTGCTTGGGATGGATCTCTGCAGGCAAGCTCAACAGCATGAGAGGATTTCTTTAGGATATCCAGAACTCTTTGGAAGATAGTCCTGGGTGCTGTTTCTCTGAAAAAGGATAAAATTGTTACAAACAAGAAAAAAGACTATAATTTCCAAATGTCCTGTTCAGAAAACTGCTTTCATCTACTATTGTGGGGAGAGGGACTAGGCTTATCTGATCTAGCTCCTTAACTTACAACACCAAATAAAAGATCTGCATATATTGAGCACTTACATACTATGCATCCAGGCACTGTTCTTGTCCCTTTTCATGTATTTTCTCATTCAGTCTTTGCAACAGTCTATGAAGCCAACACCGTCCTCTCCATGTTACAGAAAAGGTAAGTGAAGTAGAGCCGGTAAGTAACGTGCCCAAATCACTCAGCTGATAACTGGCAGAGCCACAGAGCCAACTGAGGCACTCTGGCCTGCAATGTCATGTCACTACCCATGACAACCCAAGTCCCAGTTCCAGTGACTGCTCGTGCTTATGGATCTGCCCTTAATCAGAACAGAGTATCTATATTTAATGTTCTAGACAGAGAATATAGTCCGGTCCTCTGTCACCCAGTATGTACCGAAGTTCAGTTGCAAGACAATATTCCTATAGGACAAGGGTACTATCTACTGTGTAGACACTGTGAGGCTGACAACACACACACCCGACTTCTATACAGCCAGCGACACAGATGGGAGAGAAAGGAGGGAGGGAAAGAGAGAGGGAGAATGTAAAGTGTGCCCGTTCTTCCAGCAAGAATGTATGCCCAGGGAGAAAGAGGAGCTGGTGGCTGTTCCCTGCGGGCATCTGAGTCTCTGCATGCCTCTCATGCCAGGAGTACTGCCTGCACTGCCTATCATTCCAGAGCTTTAAAGATAAGAATTTTTTGTGTGCAACATGGCACCTAAATGCAAGCCAACTTCCTCATTCCATAAATCCCCTAAAGAAACAGCAATCTGTTTTAATGTTAGAAGGAAAATTGTTACATTGGACAATTTAAGTGATTCTCGCAAATGATTCGGACCATATGAATTTTCTGCTTTTGCTCTCGCTGTAGAATCACTGTGCTGTTTCTCTGAAAAAGGTATTTCGCCCTTGGACTGAGCCAGACCAGCAGGGAGCCACATGTTCATTTACAACTCGGACACTGAGCTGCCCAGATTACAGAGCTGCTCAGTTGCTGCAGGAGACACCTATGGAGGCCCCTTTTCTGGGGCCAGAGGAAATACTTCTCTCCCTGAACTTCAGTACCACGACTTTTTATACACCAAGTGATGTGGGTTTTTATCTTACCAATAGACAATAGAACTCACATTATTCACTACATTTTCTCTCTGTCCGGGCCTTTCTTAAGTCTGGAGTCAAATTTATGACCATGTTTAACAACAATATGAATCCTTACTTTTTCTATCTGATTTTTCCACTCTCCCTAATTTCCTCCCTTATCTTTTTCTCATTGTATTTATTTTTTTAAGGTACCTTAAATTCAGTTTTGGAAAGAGGCAGAGTATAAATTAATTAAAAACTGGGAGACCGCACATAAAATAATTTGTCTATGTCTCCCCCAGTCAGCCCTCTGAGTGTAGACGATGAAACTTTGACTCAGCGTCTCGACAACTGAGTGACGTGACCAAATTAAAAAATAAAAATGCAAGGGCACAGCACTAATCTTGCCTAAATAAACTGTATGAAACAAGTATATAGGCCATTTTTAGTGACAATATTGCCATAAGAAGAATATTTACTAACCCTCTTTTTTTTTTTTTTTTGAGATGGAGTCTTGCTCTGTTGCCAGGCTGGAGTGCAATGGCGCAATCTCAACTCACTGCAACCTCCGCCTCCCAAGTTCAAGCAATTCTCCTGCGTCAGCCTCCCAAGTAGCTGGGACTACAAGTGCACGCCACCACCCCCAGCTAATTTTCTTTTTGTATTTTTAGTAGAGATGGGGTTTCATCCTGTCGACCAGGATGGTCTTGATCTCTTGACCTCGTGATCTGCCCGCCTCAGCCTCCCAAAGTGCTGGGATTCCAGGCGTGAGCCACCGCGCCCGGCCAAGTCACTAACACTCTTAAGGTAGCTTTAAAAAGTACTAAATATATTGCAGACACTAATAAGCTAAGAAAATACCCAGGAGTTTAAAACATTGTAAAGAATGCTAAGGCTGATCACAATTTCTAGGACAAAGAACAAATCTAATCACCTCTATCTGCCCCATCTGCATGAAGTTTTGAACCCACGTATTAGTTAATGTTATAGTCAAATAAAAGTAGAGCTCTGCAATTGAATAAACTTCAATAACGCCTCTTTTCCTACTAAGATGACTAAGAAAAGCGTATTTACAACTGTAGTAAAGCAGTGAGAATTCTTTCTTTCACCTGATCCTCTGCCATCTGCCTCTCACATGGGCACCACCTTTCCCTTGTGAGTGATCTTCCCTGAAGTCATTCCTTGTGATCTTAATGTCTGCTTTACTCAAAATTGGTATCTCGCACAGCAAAAGGTTCGGAATCAAACTATGGTGCAGACTAAACAAGATAGAAGCAAAGCAATATTCTTTTTTTTTTTTTTTTTTCCTGAGACGGAGTTTCACTCTTGTTACCCAGGCTGGAGTGCAATGGCGCGATCTCGGCTCACCGCAACCTCCGCCTCCCGGGTTCAGGCAATTCTCCTGCCTCAGCCTCCTGAGTAGCTGGGATTACAGGCACGCACCACCATGCCCAGCTAATTTTTTGTATTTTTGGTAGAGACGGGGTTTCACCATGTTGACCAGGATGGTCTCGATCTCTTGACCTAGTGATCCACCCGCCTCGGCCTCCCAAAGTGCTGGGATTACAGGCTTGAGCCACCGCGCCCGGCGAAAAGCAATATTCTTAAAGAAAACTGGAAAAATGATATCCCGACCACAGAATAAATACTAAGTTCATGAATTATGTTGTGAATAATTCCCAATGCTACGTGTGAATTTGTTATATATGCACCATGGCTTTATAATAATTTTAACCAAACGAAAAGCATTTAACTGAGCTAAGGCCAACGAAAAGATTCCTGAAATCCAAATAACTATTAATAGCAACTAAAGAGTAATCATGACAGCATCCATTTGGCACACAATAATTCACGTCTGTGGTATAAAGGAAAACTAATGTGGGGCTGTGATCACTGTCATATGCTCTCCCCAGGTTGTACACCATGGATTCCTGAAAACTCCGATACCGCCAATCTTTGGTCTTTGCTCAAACATATCCCACCAGCAGAAGAAAGTCCTCTCTAAATCTCCCAATCCTATGCCTGGGAGAAACTTGCATCTCCTTTTAAACCTTTGGAAAACTCACAGCCCCCGTGAAACTCCTCCTCTTTTCCAGACAAAGAGACTCCCTCTATGCCTCCCTGGAGCTCTGTTCTTAAGGCTGGAATAACTTGTCCACATCAGGTAATATTTACTTATCCTATCTCCCCAGCTAGCTTGTAAGTCCTTGAAAAATAGAGACTAGCTTTTATTCTTTTCTCTATCTCTAGGGCCCAGAACTGGCACCCACTAATTGACTTTGTTCAAGTTTTAAACAGTGAGGAGACTGTTCGCACACTCAGTGGTCCCTGACTGCATCACTACCTTGCTATGTAATCCAAGTACTTGCCGAGCCTGTGCTCAGACCCAGGCATCAGGCCTGACATGAGCAGTGAGATCAGTGCTCTTTGAGTCAGCAACTGAAAGAAGGGGAAACTGAGGCATCCACTCAACTCTCCCTTCCCCATTAAGAAATCCATATAACCTCAACTCAGAAACTAGATGTGAATATTATGTAGATATTTTATGACTGCTATTAAGCAAATATTGAATTTCTCCTTCCCCTTTAAATGATACAGTGGATAAGCTTGCAGGTCTGGGAGGAGTTGTATAACCCAATTAACTGTATTTTAATAATGTCTTAAGAACAAAGAACATGTTTTAGATGTCTATTTCCTTTTATAAAAGGTGGCAGTAAAAACTGTTCCGCTAGAGTCATACAATAAATAGCTATAGCTTCTATTCACCCTAGTTTTACACAATATAATATATCAACAACTTTCAGCAGAGGACAAAAAAGCTTTTACTCAATAACAGTAAATACTATGAAAGCATTTAACTCTTCCATACATTTTTACCTTCTCTACAGCCTTGAAAGAAAACTATTTGGCATTACAGATCTGGAGTAGTCCTAGTGTCTTGTCTGCAAAAATCTGTGTTCACTGTAAGACAATGCAGTTCAATATGTGTAATGATTAACAACAATGAAATAGTAAAGACCAATACTCCAGTATCACAAATGTTATTAATAATAACTGCTGTCATTTCTGCTTTAACCAAACTAACAAAAAATACAGAGACTTTAAAAAGCTTAGCTACTTCACTCACAGAAGACAGAAAGTACTTACAAGGACAATTAAAATTCAACCGTTAGACATTCCTATTAGAAAGGAATGCATACCCTGAAGACAATGTATAGATGAAATGTTACATTACAGAACCAAAAAAAATCCTTTGAATTATACAAAAGATAGAATTTCATTTCCTTCAAGTCTGAACAGATCTGTAGGGTTTAATCTTGGCAAGTCTTATTTGAGAAAAATTAAAAGAAAACTACCTGTGATTATATGTAACAGGTTAGATAGGTCTAATATACTGCATGTATACACATTTTACAGTTAAATTATCAGGTGGGACCTCCTACTGAAAATGAAAGCTACATGCTAGTCATTGTAATGCCACAACTAAGGCCTTCCTACTTGTTAAAAGATTTATTCTAATACCTTAGATTTACTTAAAAACTGGCGTATGTGGTTTAGAGTAGTTTAACAACTGCCATGAGAAAAGCTATGAAAATACACACAGTCCAGAGATTAAAATAACAATCACTGGTTGTTACTTAAAACCATAAATCTTGCTGATTTGATTGGACAGGGCTGAACAACAGAAAATAAAAACATTTGTATCTCCTGCCACAAACAGCCTAGGGCAAAAGTTTGGAATCTGCATAGCACGCAAACTTCTTTTTATACTCTTCTCTCCTCTTCTGTCACATCCAGGATTCTGACGCGGTTCTTGACAACCCAGCTCACTCCATTTTGCAGGGTCATACACTTATTCTGTAAAGGGTCAGAGAGTGAATATTTCAAGCTTTGATGGCCAAACAGCCTCTGCCACACTCTCAATTCCCTGGTGCACAAAAGCAGCCACAGGCAGCACCTAAACAAGTGAACATGGCTGGGCTCTAATGAAACTGTTTGTGGAAACCAAAATTTAAAATTCATATAATTGTCATGTGTCATGAAATTTTATTATCTCCCCAACCATTTAAAAACATAAAAAAAACCATTCTTAACTCCCCATGTGTCATAAAAAAAACAGGTAGTGGGCCAGATCTGGCCATGGTTTGGCAACCCCTGCTTTAAAGGGTTCCAAACATACCAGTCCTCTCCCCACTCCCCAAAAACCACATGCTTCCTCTTTCCCACTGTCCTCATCACATTCAAAATCCATCTCTCATCAGAACAAACACACTGTGTTAAATGAAAGGAACTAAGAAGGCCAGGCGCAGTGGTTCATGCCTATAAGCCCAGTGCTTTGGGAGGCAGAAGCCAGGAGTTCAAGACCTGCCTAATATAGCAAGACCCCATCTCTACAAAAAAAAACTTGTTTTAATTAGCTGAGCTTAGTGGTCTGTGCCTCATAGTCCCAGCTACTCGAGAGCCTGACGCAGGAGGATTGCTTGAATCCACGAGTTCAAGGCTATAGTGAGCTACAATCACAACACTGCACTCTGGCATGGGTGACAGAGCGAGACCTTGTCTCTAAAAATACATGAAAAGAAAGAAAGAGAAGCTAAGAAAAGGTGAAATTAGCTCAGAGGCAGAAAATCAACCACTGGAATAGAATAGAGCGTCCAGGGACAGAACTGTGCATACGTGGTAACTTGATTCATGGCGTTTATCAATAGCATTCAAGACCTCCTGGGGAAGATGGACTGTGTTCTAAGAGGTGCTGTAACAACTGTTAATCTACAAGGAAAAAAACTGAATTGGATCTTTACTTACAACTACCCAGAAAGTAACACCAGATGGATTTAAGAATATACGGAAGTAGCCGGGCGCGGTGGCTCAAGCCTGTAATCCCAGCACTTTGGGAGGCCGAGGCGGGTGGATCACGAGGTCAAGAGATCGAGACCATCCTGGTCAACATGGTGAAACCCCGTCTCTACTAAAAATACAAAAAATTAGCTGGGCATGGTGGTGCGTGCCTGTAATCCCAGCTACTTAGGAGGCTGAGGCAGGAGAATTGCCTGAACCCAGGAGGCGGAGGTTGCGGTGAGCCGAGATCGCGCCATTGCACTCCAGCCTGGGCAACAAGAGCGAAACTCCGTCTCAAAAAAAAAAAAAAAGAATATACGGAAGACAAAATTGCAAGGCTTTGGAAGAAAATACAAGGAGAATATCTTTATATTCTTAGAGAAAGATGCTGTATATAAGACATTTTTTAACCCTATTTTTTTTCTTTTTTCCTAACCACTAGACCACCAGGGATAAACTGTATTTTAAAAGTATTACTTAAGCACAGATACAAAGGTGAGGGAGCCAACTATGCATCTTCCTGGGAGAAGAGTTTGGACTAGAGGCAAAAGCATACACAACATGCCACAGGGAGGTCAGGGCTGGCCTGGATGAACCCCAGCGAGAGAACAAAATGGAAGTGCCACTCAGAGAAAGAAGGCGGAGCCCCCCAGCACAGGCAAAGGAGGCCGGGGAAGGACGCTGGCTTTTAGCCTGGTGTGAAACCACGGAAGGTTCTTTTTCTCACTTTTTCAGACAGTCTTGCTCTGTGGCCCAGGATGGGGTACAGTGGCAGGATCTCGGCTCACTGCAACCTCTGCCTCCCAGGTTCAAGCAATTCTTCTGCCTCAGCCTCCCAAGTAGCTGAGATTACAGGCATGGGCCACCATGCCCAGCAAATTTTTGTATTTTCAGTAGAGATGGGTTTTCACCATGTTGGTCAGGCTGCTCTCAAACTCCTGGCCTCAAGGGATCAGCCTGCCTTAGCCTCCCAAAGTGCTGGGATTACAGGTGTGAGTCACCACGCCGGCCCATGAAAGGTTCTGAGCAGAGGGGTGACAGCATCTGACTTACATGTTAAAAGGATCCCTTTGGCTGCTCTGTAAAGAATCAATCTTAAAGAGAAAAGAGAAAACAGCAGGAGACCACTTAGGAGGCTGTTTTTAGAGCAGAGGGAAAGCAGCAGGTATGGTAAATAGAAATCAGATTCTGGATATTCTAAAGATAGAGCCAATAGGACTTCATGCTGAATTCTTATGAGGGGTGTCTAAAAAGGGGGAGTGAAGGATGAACCCAAAACTTCAGCCTGAGACATAAACTGAAAAATGTATTGATTGTTTACAGAAACAAAGACCAATCTGAGGATATCTGGTGGATGAGAGGATCAGGAGAAATACAAGTAGAACTTGAAGTAGTCAGATGAATAAACAAGCCTAGCATT